CATTTAGATAAATAATTACCCGCAAAGATATAACTATAAAATCTAATCTCATATTTATGTTAACTAGTTTTATATTAATAAATCTAAAGGTATCCATTCACTATCAAACATGCTGGCTAACAAAAAAATTATACAATTATGCATGTGCTCGCATTTCCTCACTTAATTTGACATATCCGAACGCAAATATGTATTATAATTTGTTAACTGTTTTCAAATTAATAGAACAATAAAAATATACTTTTTAAACTTTATTTAATATGCGGATTCCAGCTGAATAATTTCCATAGTTTGAGAATTAGGATTTCATTGATTGTTACATAGTATTTTTGTGCACAAATAAATTATTATTTAAATATTTGATAGTCGGTGAACATGATAGATTTTTTTTAAATATGCACAACTAAACGAGCAGTGCCTCGTGTGTACTAAGCAATCTAAATAAGTATGTTTTGCCGCTTTTCTTTCACTATTTAGCAAACACTTTTAACGGTTTGTCGGAAAAATTTTACATTGTTTAAGAAAATTAAAAATATCAATGTCTATAATGGCAAAAACAGGCAAGATAGTCGAACAAAGCAGTCGAGATAATATGCGAGTGTAGGTGAATCTGATATTTTTTGCATTTTTCAAGAAAATTGTAAGCCTATTGAGAACCGTAAAAGCAACTATAGTCTGATATGAACAAATGAACCGAAACAAAAACGAAAAAGATAAAAATAACAGTAAAAAGAATTCCCGTCTGGCTTTTTTCAACAAATTTGTGTCTTTGTCGGATATTAAGCTTGTCAAGAAATGTACCCCTTAAATAGATTAAATGTTATGTTCTGCGTAATTACCAAGTATATACAATAACGACAAGTAAAAAATAAAACTAACTATAAGTCAAAGGGATTATCCATACAAGAATTTAGCGCGAATAGAATAGAATTTACAAAAAATTAAACGTAATAATATTCACTAAAATTAATAGGTTGTTATAAAATGACGCAGTAAAAATAAACGTGCAGTACATTGTTATGTTTATTTTTCATAATAGTATTTATGATTCGCTCATTGTGAATGTTTTATCTACTGAGATTTTAATGAAAATCTTTTGTCTAGGTTTCCACAAATAGACGGCGGTGACGCGATGACTCTTGTTTGCTTGAATCCCATACATTGACCGACGTAGTCGGAACGCCTTCTGTTCGCGTCACGCTTTCAGCAGCAGTACATCACAAAGAACGCAAAACGTGAACGCGTGACCGCCTTCTGTTTGCTGAAATCTCTATATTTACATTTTTCAGGCGCCTTTTGAAATATTACTAAATCATTCTACAACAGTCAAATAACATTACTTCAAAATATCACGTCTCTGAATTGATGCTGACCAGACCGAAGGTCTCCAGCGATTTAACCACTCAACTGCCTTAACTGGCTCATTTATTGTCGGCCCGTAACTAGATGTTCACACATCGCCAGACTTGTTTCCGTGTAACCGAAAAGTGGGTGTTAGTCGTTATAAACAATATACTGACACACACTTATCTCTACACGCCACTTTAACTCGAGTAACTAGTCACACGCGTACATTAAAGTAAATAGGACTGGGTACAACCCATAAGGACACAGGGTACCATCTCGATAAGTTGTATATCCGCCTCTGCAGAGTGACGCGCAGGACAACGACACTCTGAAATACACCCCGACGTTCAGTATGCAAGAGCAAAGCTTATAAATTATTAACAAAATATTAATGAACTTTAGGAAATTGAATTATAGCGAATGGCTTCTGAAATGTCTAGGATTTAACTTTGCATTCTGAACGTCAGACGGATAGGCGTGAACACAAATAATCTATCAAAAATAAATAGGGTTACGTAGCAGCTAATTATACCAATATTTTGAACTGCCGGCTAATCCCGTAAGGCAGAAGACAATTTCGGATTCAAGGCTTGGATTAGTAGTTTCAAACTTTTGATAGAAACTTGAAAAATAATTTGTAAAAACCATTGAATCGGCACCAATGATTTGAATAACGGAAAATTAATATCACCTGGGTCCTTAACGCCTTAGGAAGTCGTCATACTTATCGACACCAATTTGGCTTGAGCTACTCAGAAAAAATTATGTCCATACAATAAGAGCGAAAAAGATATTATACATACATTCTTAGTTTTAGTCCGATAGAAACTCACTCAATATTGTGGGAAAACGGCCATAACTACGGATTTCGTGCGTAGGGCCCAAACCGATTCCGCATCGATAAGTGTGGTGATGCCTTTACGCGGTTAGCCTGCTGATATTCCCAACAAACGCTATCATCACTAGCCTCAGAAATTCGGTGGGAATCTAACATACTTATTTAGCTCCAGTTAAGTGTCAGCATTTATTAACTGCTTGTCTAAGTATTGTGCATTATTATTGACGCAAGTTTCTATTAGCACCATTCCAAATGGTATGCTTTGTCTTTTTTACTTACGCATAAATTCTAGACAACGCATATCTATAGGGAGTTAAATTGTGCCGTCAAGTATAGATTACTTTAATGATGTATAACGTTGATCCTTTTTCAATACTGTCAAATTAGATAATTTTAAATGCGTAAATGAGTAACATTTTTGTCAAAGTTATTTAGAGTCAAATTTTCACAGAATCCCTGAGTATAGTTACAAGTCCATTATTTCGAGATTTGCATTTCAAAAAGACTTGACATGTATAACATGATTCTTCTTACAAAACTTAACAAACCTAAAAGGGTCCATCGCACCTACTAAATTATTAAAATTAAGGCATCAATTGAAATGGCAACATTCGCGTGACAATATTACGTGTTAGGACTACACTTCCGTACCCGATGTAACTCTTCGAGTATTTACCTGTACACACTATCACGCACTTTGGTTATACATTTGTTTTACACAAGGTTACTGTCGCCACATAGTTTAAAATCCACCAAATGAATACCAGCTTGTTTTACAACGCCTGCAACCTACGTTACCAGCATTTAGTAAGTATATATGTTATACTTTTTTCTTTTTTTGCGCAACACACTCATAGCCCCGCACTAGGGAGACCCTGTGTCGCTGGTGGCATGGAAACACACATAGACAACCACAAATTACGCCCAAAGTCACGAGAGAAATAAATGTGGCCATACAAAATATTTCTCCCAGCTCGGGAATCGAACCCGGGACCTCTGCGTGGCAGCCCAGCATTTATACTGTGTCAATCCATACAATTACCATTGACGGGTCTTATAGTCAGTAGGCACACTTTAGGTTGTAGTCACACGAGCTGCATAACGACTGCAGTAAAAGTTTGGGTGCTGACTGCACGTTGATTTCTGTAGTCGCGGTGCAGTTGTTGCCGTCAACTGCATCCAAATTGCTTATCAACAGCAGTGTAACTGCAGTTTGCAGTCACGAATTATGTTCAAACACACTAACAGCCAAGTTTCCATGTAGAATATAGTTACGTTACTTGGTGGCTTATTTCATAAGGCGACAATGGCAACATCGTGTAAATTTAGTAATACGACTTTTCCAACTGTCTTCCTCAATTTGAGTTTAAATGCAAACTTAATAAAAAATAATTAGACATAATCTTGAAAACAATTGGACATAATCTTGAAAACAATCGGAAGACGTTAAGACGATATTCGATCAATAAAATGAATAAAATATATCAGTTCACAATTAATTAGTAAATACGAGGGAATAAAACTTGATAACATTGAGCTTTTGACACAGTTACAGATTCAAAATTATATAAACCATCTACATAATACTGCGTAACGAGACAAATAACAATGGTTTTGTAATACAACTCTAATTAAGGGTGGTGATGTCACGGTTTCACGTAATTTTGTGAGTATATTTGACCTAGTTCTTGTCTTAGGGTGGGCGCGGTAAGGGGCGTGAGCAATATTTTAGCTTTACTCCGAAAATCTATTGCTCGTAGGGACGGGATAGGAAAGGACGTCCGTCCATGAGAGTGGCCATACTACCTTACTTGTCATAAATCACGCACTTGCATTTTGGTACCTACACTACATACTAAAGTTTTTTTTTTCTTTGAAAAATGTCATTTACACTGATTTTGCTTAACAATAAAACTGAAACTAAATAAGATATATATTAAAAAAACGTTTATAGGGATTGTAGATCTCGAATCCCTGATGTCAGAATGTAAATAACATAATTTCGCTAAAAATATCCATTACGTTGTTTATGATAAGGACAGCAAAGCGACCACGATTTTTTATGAAAATTCTCCGAGATGCGTGCGTCAAGACATGTAAATGAGAAAAGTTTACAGCCAACACAGGAGTATAGGTATAAAACTGAGCAGAGACATGAGTCCATATCCCTCCCCTTGCCACGCTACCTAAGGCGATGGCTAGCCAAGAAATCAGACAAGAGACCACAAAACAAAATAGTTGCCGTTAGCAAATAATGTATAATCTTATAAATATAATGCGTAAAAACGTCATCCACAATCATTCAAATAATAAAAAATAGACTAGTAATTGATTATGACTAGCCTCGTCTTAGCTGGGATATTCTAAATTGATTAGTAAACAGTAAATATATCTATCATAACATTTCACAATGTTTTAACACACAGTGAGTCACAAAACGTGGATAAAGCGTTAGGCAGTCATCACACTTGTCGACGCGGAATCGGCCTGAGCTTGTTAGAAAAGCTTATCGTCGCCTTACTTTCTCGAACTCGTATCTTAGCACAAAATTACTCAAATGCAAAAAACGGATTGTATATACAAATTTTGCATGCTCATTTAAAATCACGTCTCCTTCATATTCACACACTGGCTTTTACGTATTATTGAAGTAATCCAAATTAACACCCTTGATCAGAAATTTAAAACAAATAGAAAATTTGCCATGACCTCAATAATCACTCTTTATAAGATAAGAGTTTGAGAGTCGTATTCTAGAACTCTGCTCAATGCTCAAGTCAGGACTTGAGTATGATTCAAAGCACTAGAAATCATACTCAAGTCCTTGCCATTAGGGTCGTATTTCCAGTGCTTGAAATCATACTCAAGTCTGCTCAAATCCTGACTTGAGCATTGAGTAGAGTTCTGGAATACGACCCTAAGACAGTAAAGCACCGTTACGTCAGTGTAATAAGGGCGAAAAATGCGTTTCGCGTCGGTGGTTCTAAAAAGCCGTTTTTGAAAACTGGTACTTACCAGAGCAACAGAATTCAGCCTGGGGCCCTAACCTGAACACCCAGATCAGAACCAATTTAGAAAAGTTCACTTGCCAAATTGGTCCTACCGAGAATCGACCCCGGGCCTCTACACTCACTGTGTGTTTACTTTAATGTTTAGTTTGCTTTAATGTTAGTTTTTACTTTGTCATTTGCAATTCCCAACTCTAAAAAATCGTTATAGATAAATTCCCGTCGTCTAGAAGTGTGTTAACCTCGCCGTGGTATCCAAACATAATGCTTTAGTAAAGTCGTGAGCAGCCTTAAGAAAAGTTGTATTACAATTTATCATAGTGAAGTTTACATGTTGGGTAGGGGTACAGTGACCTGAACGTAGCTGATGGGGAAGTAGCCCGTCTTGCCGTTGACCGAGCCTTCAAACCAGTTGTCATCGACTTTGCTGATCAGCGTGATAACGTCATTCTCCTGTGGGAAAATACACACTATGTCATTACACATAAGAAAAATTTACTTTTACCTCTGACTTTGTAATATTTCAATATAAATTTATGTTACTTAATCTTTTTCGTGTGTTAGCGTTTAACCATAGTATAAGTAGTGCAACTCCAGCCTATTCGGCGCGACGTCTGTAACAACAGTCCGCTCGGAGCGTAGGGTTGTCACATTATTATTTTAGTTGTACCTGGAGATTGCAGAACTTAATAAAAAAAAATTAAGATAATCACAGTATTGTCGTGCTCCATTGACTTACAAATAAATGGACGACGGGTCTAATACAAAAACCACGAAAAAAATGTCCCAAGTCAACCTATTTAAACGTAGTGACATGTAAAGGAATATGAAAAAGCTAAAACGTTGAATTTAAATTGTAATGTCATCGCAGGACTGTCTAATTTTGCATGCTTCGCTGTCAGTCGAACAAACGAAGACTAAAGCGTGAATGACGCTCTGTATACGATTTTAACGCCCTATAAGTTCGGACACTTTTTAGCGCGGACCCGACGTCCATATAATTGTAAGTCTATGTCGTGCTCTATTGAAATAACCTATGTTATACTCCGTCCAACCATTTATTTAACTTTTGACAGCTCGAACTCTAATCAATTAGTGATGTCTAAAATGCGTTTCCGTTACGATTTTTTAATAACTGTCGATTTTATTTATGAAAAAGTTTAAATCGTGAGTGTGAGCGGGTTCAAAAAAGAAGATATTTTCGGATTGGGATCGTAATGTTGCGTTTGACAATTTGTGTACTCAAGAATTAATAATCAATGTTAATAAGGATTCAAGCGATGATTTCCGTTCATAAGGAGAATAAATCGATGTTTCATTATAATAAACATTAAGAATTTATTATAATTATTTAAAATTTATTTTATTTCATTATAATTTATTAGACAGATATCAACATTTATCAATTTGAATATCTTCGTTACATAATCTGTTGGCTCGATAAATATCGAAGCTAAAGAGCACGTCGCTTCACTAAAAGTAAAAAATAAAAGAGTCTAGGAAGTTTTTAATTTTTTTAACTATGGTTGTATATCAATAATTACGAAACTTCGGAGGCATGCATATGTCAAATGTAAAATAAATGGTTGGACGGAGTACAAATGCAGTACTTGCGCAATGATATTTTTATACCAGCACTGTGGGTTGGTAACTACGTGTATGGTTATGAAATAAAAATTAAATCTGACCAATTTTGAATTTAAAGCACTCTTGTTAAAACAACCATAAATACAACAAAAACACACGTCTACTATTGATGTCATTTCTTAAAAACTTAGTGAACGCTTCAATTCTATAATCAATGGCGCGTGAGACGACTCGCGATATTCAATGCGAGTGCACCGCGAGATTATGCGAACATGTGCTTCCGTACACGGCGCTCGCTCGGTGGGCGTGCACACATACAAGCTGCGCTGCTACTTTTGTATGGAGTTTTTTTTTAAATATGCAGTTACAGAGTCACTCAATACTTCAAATCGGAAAGTTCTGAGGGGTACTGTCCTGCCACTGCGCCTATCACCCTGAGATATAAATTGACAGGTCCCATGGGCTAACACTTGTGTTATTTACTATGGTTTAACGGCTCATATACAGTCCTTTAACAAAATTTATTTATAAACATCACAACGTAAGACGTAGAACTATGTAAATGTCTTTACTGCGTTAAAATTATTAATTACGTCCATTCGTGACGTTAAAAGTCGAGCAGGCAGATATCTCAAAATATTTAATTCTATCTTGCGTGTGTGAGATAGGTTTACCTCAATCGTGTGGTTGAACTGGGTTGCAGCCGGTAGATTGTTAACGTTTATGAATAAAATTACAGTACCTTGAATCCCAGTTCGCCCTGATTCTCGGCCTCGAAGTCATAAAGCGCAGTGCAGCACGGGGCCTTGTTGGGCGTCATCATCGGTGTCCGCGCTGGCGACTTAACAGGCGATGGCAGCGGCGATGCTATACACAAATACGTGTTACTTCGTTTCGTAAATTTATATTGTAACGTGTCTATATAGAGGCAAATACACATTGGCTAATTTATTGATTTTTAGAGCAATAAATACGTAAGTAACAAAACTGATTTCAGATTCGCACGGTTGGTGACAGTTATTCGAAAATCAATAATAAGTATATACAATTCGTAGTACAAGTCATAAGTACCACTATATTAGATATCTACGGTGTAATTATTCCTACGCTTACCTTTATTAAATCACTATTGTGAAAGTCTCTCTGAAATCAGCTTAAGTAAAACTATATAAAGCATCTAATGTATCAAAATTTGGCCAATTTATATGAGCCTACCACATGCATTAAACAATGTAGTTAAACATGGATGTAAATGGTATTATATATAACAAAATGTGTGATATAATATTGCTCATCATAATCATGCGAACTATAGTCTGTTATCTATACAAACAAATAAAAAAATTATCTATCCACACTTTGTTAAATACAGCCATTATACGCAATATATATGTATGTCTTCCACATTCCAATTAGCTTGATAATAAAATCATTCAGCCAATAAAATAATGTAGATAGATAATACAGTAAACAAGGCCGAACGAGCTAAAATGGAACGAGGAATTTCCGCGTAATTCGCGCCAGATTTTAGGGCACGACGCAAAAGCAAAATGGTATTTTCATAAAGATAACTTTTAGATGACCGAAAACATTCCTACGGCGCATGTCTATTACGTTTCAATATAAATAACCGTATGCGTTATGTTATATTTCATATCTAGTTGACATATTATGTACCTATACTTGGTTCATGTACGGGACGATTTTCAGACAACGTGAGTCATTTTGTATGTCATTCCATACAAGAGTCATACATGAGGTTAAGTGACGAATACGGTAATTAAACAGACTGACAAAATACGTAATACTTAATAAGATCAAACTAGTAGGCAATCTTTATAAAAATATTTATTAACTATGGTATGAACATATTATTATAGCTAATGAAAATGGGGACAGTACAGTCATCCACATCACTGTTATGTTCAAGAAAATACAAAAGTGAATATATGTATTAAACATTAACAAACAAATGACGAACACTTCTAGTGTGTTGTTGTTCGTAAAGCGTCATGACGTCACATGCTTCGGTACATTAAAAGCAATGAAACGAAATAACACAAGACATGCATTACAGAAAATGTGAACTCATTTGAGATCGACTACATAAACAAAAACAAGCTGTGAAAGATCAGCAAAATCAAACAGATATCAATCGTAGATAACTAAAAATCTAGAAAACTAGAAAATCTGAAGTGTATTCAGTGTTTGTTTGTGTGAGGTGTTTGTTAAAAGTATATCTAAACAGTAGATATTACTTGCTAATTAAGTCTTGTACAATACTAACGACACACTTAGGAAACATCATCGACAATCATAAACATATCCGAAGAATTCATTAAATTTATATATAAGAATTATATGGACAATTTTCAGATTAGTCAGTAGTAGTAGTTCTATGTCTAATTTCGGTGGCAATTTTTATAATTTAAGTATTAGGGTTTATTATCGTGAAATATCATAATATCTCACGACACTACACTCAAACATTAAATAATAATACTTCATGACCACTAAAATTAGATGAAGAAAACTTACCTGAAAATTACCCAAATACATGTAATAATTTCAATTTAATAATATAACACAGATCGTGCTATATTTTGTATGAAACGTAACACAGCGCCAAAAATTTATAAATTAAAACTATTAGCATTTTTATAAAACTTCTTCCGCGGCAGAATGCTTTGACATTTAGTTATGAATATCTACTTTTTAATTGTATTATTTTTATAATAATATGTTTATTCGCAGTGCACTATTTACCAATTAATATAAGAATTTATTTATTTTGAAATAAGAACCTAGAAGGTAAAGTTACCTTAATTCCGACGAATGAATTGATTGATTGTCATGATATCTCGAGCGTGTTTTGAAATATCTTACTATTCACAGGCTAACAGCGCGCATGTCAATTAATAATACACCAATATATGTCTTTCAATGACTGACGCATGGGATGTCTGATAATGAGACCTAGTTAGGTAAACACCACGAGTCTACTTGTGTACTGTTACTAACACGTTCTACGTTGTTGCATGTACAATAAGCTACTCCTCGCTTTATATACTGTAACATTCATGAAGCATTAGGGCCGGACCCAACTGAACAGCACGCTTCAGTAATACGTATTACATAAATATTGAAGGTCGACATTGATGCGAAAGATTGGATAGACGCTTATAGAATCGTACTTACTACTTACCTCCTCCTCCTTATAAAGAAAAGATTCTTTACAAGCAATGTTTATTATAATAAAGAGACTATATTATTGCGTAATTTGATTATTATATCGATGTATGACAAAAAGAGACTCATTTTTAACCGACTTCAAAAAAAGGAGGAGATTCTCAATTCGACTGTATTTTTTGTGTGTTAGCATACACACAAAAAATAAAAATTATTTCGACATATTTTGTAAACCGGTTTCGATAATTTTTTTTTTGTTGGAAAGGGGGTATCTCGGTAGTGGTCTCATTGAAATTTGAAGAAAATATTTCACCTTTAAAGGTTAGACAATTAGGGGTATATTCCGTTTTATTTGATTTCACCAATTTCAACAAAACTTGGCAAATAGATGTAATTCCACAAACTTTTGAGATCGGCTTTTATTATAATTTACCAACGTAAAAATACATTATTATGTAATTTAAATAGTCTTTTATTTATTTATGAAAATAATTTTGTAGGCAGTTTTTAAAACTCAATAATGATAACGAATAAAAAAATAAACAAATAAAAAAAAACTCATAATATCTCTGTTTACGTATTCATAAAATTTCTGCTATCAGCTCAAATACTTTCTGCAATAAGTAGTACAGTGGTCTCTACATTTTTTAAATATACATATATACATTTTAAATTTTTTTATAATACCAAGTGACGATACGAACAAGTCGTACGCCTGGTGGTAAGCGACACGTCTGTTCATAAATACTGCTTATTATATTCTTGCCCTTATGGCAGCCGGATGTGACCGCAAGTCTAATCTACTCTAATCCAAATAACTTATTTTTACTTTTTTCACTGAACATATGTGAGCCATCAAGAGCTATAATGACCCTATTATTTTTGTATATGATTTGGCAAATATACATAACTTAATACAATAAGCATTCCTAACATAATGAGTTCTTTTAATCACCATACATATCGTACAGCACTTATTACAAAATTCAACCGTTGTGCTAACTTATTGTATTGAACTAAATATCTAATTACTAAATACCTAATTGCTAAATGCGGTATGTAATAAAAGTAAAGAAAAATCTACATATACACTATAGTGCAGTATACATTTGTGTAGTGTATTGTTGCTAACTTCCTGCGTTGGATGAGAAAAAAATATCCTAAATGTTTTGTGTGCGCGAGTGTCATTGACACGAAAAGTGATAGCTTCTTTAAATTTGGCTACAGGGGTCATTGCTGTGTATTCTTTAATTTACAATTCTGGTATTAGAAATAGTCTTGAAATCTCACGGTTTATTTACCCTTCTATCTTAAATTGCAAGCAATATAAGTACAAAAATTATTTATAACGAATGAGTTACTTAAAAAGTTTAGATGACATAAATAAGTACTTTCAAATAATGACGTGAAAATTTAATTTCTTTCAATTGTTCAATTCAACATACCTGTACGTTTTCAATTAACCTTTAAAATATTTCATCACACAAAGCTTTGACTTAAAGAAACTGTACTATCCTAACATTGTATTTTTTTTAATGTGTGTGATGTTCCTGTAAGCATAACACTTTCCGTGCCAACGCATTATGTTAATGTGTTACCATTGTTGGAGCGTTGTTGTACGTTGCCGCCAGGAAACAGCTCCAGGTGGGAAGGCGGCTTGTGCTCTGGGGTGCCGACGTGAGAGCCTCCTTCTCCGCAAAACGGAAATTTGTTCCAACTCAGTGCATATCGATATTATGTTGTTACTACATCACTATTCCGATTACATCCTACAACTCGATCTAACCTTTTTCATATCGCTGAGTGTACATGACTTTCGTTCACAGACTTATAACAAGGTATATATAACAGTATAACAATTTTGAAAATTCATTGTTTATATTTATATATATATTTTCTTTATTATATTAATTTCGTTTATTATATTTATATGTTCATATTTATTGTTTATATGACATATACAGGATTTTATTAATTTTGACAACAATCTTAAAAATAATTTTAGTGTCGATTATTGGTACATATTATGTGTGTGCGTGTCCATTCATAGGAAAGACTGAACATCGAACATTGTTAGAAAGAGACAGAACACCGACAAAGCCACTAGCAGACAACAGTCTTTTGTCCCCAGAGCTGTCAATTCCCACACTAATACCTTGGCAAAGATAGGATTCTGTGAAGAACCTGCCTGAGTAAGTACCGCCGCGAATTTCTATCGCAAAGCAACACTGTTGTGTTTCAGATACAGGGGTAAAAAGAGCCAGCGCAATCACAAACAAAAGACTTAAGGTCTTATGTCCCAAGGTAAAAAATACATTGACAACAATGCATTTTTTATGATATCTAGTGACGTGACAATACACCTATCCGTAACAGGCCTTGAGGCCTTACCATGAACTCTTAGTACGATTCAGTTACATGAAGTGTATATCGCTTTTTTGACGTTACAAACCTACACTGAACTGTAACAAGAGTTCATGGTAAGGCCCCTGTACTTTATTTCTACGTCCGATATCTGTCCGAAACAATTACTGTCAAATAAGTAATTCCCGACCAAATTAAAAGACGTATGATGTGAATGAAGCTTCAAACTTTCATATTGTTTTTTAATTTGATCGGGTATTACGTGATTGTTTCGGACAGATGTCGGATGGAGAATAAGAGTAGACCCCCAGTTTACACTCAGTGTTTTAAATTGCAAAGACCACCCTGAGACATAAAGTTGCTAAGCCTCATGTGTCTGTAATTTCAGCAGCACCCTCACCACCCTTAAAACTGGAACGCAGTAATGCTCACTGCTTGACGGCAGAAATAGGTATTGGTGGCAGTATTTCCCTGGACAAACTCTTTCACGGAGCTCTGCTGCCACTGAAAATTTTGAGCTATTACTTGTATCCAGAATTTCGTAAATGTGCAATTATTTCCATCAGGTAGACCGCTTCACTGTTTGCCTATTTATAGATATACCAACAAAAAAAGAAAATCCGCGGCAGAAAGACCGCAGTTATAACGGGATTTGGATGCTCGTTGTACAAAAGGCGTGTTATTTGCTTGTGACGTTACTGTCTACTTGATCAAAAAACGAGGTATTGAAGGAAAAGACTCGAGAACGACCTATAAACGCCTACTTTGATTACACATACATTTAATATAAAGATATTAAATATACAACATATAAAATTATACCATATGCAAAGACTTTCTTCTATCACAAGTGCAAACCAAGTTAACTATAGTGTTTACAAAGAATGAAAGATCATTAAAGTTCTCACATTATAGTAGAATGTGAGTAACTTACGTTGTACATTTTTTTATAGTTTGCAATAACCAGAGATTTAAATTGGTAGAGCATATTTCCGTGAACTTTAAGCAATAAACATGAATCGGATATTACCTCCTTTTGAAATCCCAGAATGGATAAAAATAAAAGACAAAAAACTCAAAACAAAACATTTATATTTTTAATAGTAAACAAAATCCAAAAACTCCCTTCAAGTAAGGCCTATTCAGATCTGTAGCAAAAACGTACGGTTTAACTTCGGAAAGTTTTTAGGGAATATTCAAAATGTTTTGTGAATATTACAAATGTTATAGAACTACAGACACCCTTGGTGTAATAATGCCACATTTGCAAAATTACAACTTTTTAGGAAAGAGTTTTAAATATTCTACTAACGATATTAGTCGATACCTTTTTATCTTTAAATAAGAGAGTTATAAAGTTTCACATATTATTTATTTCATGAAGTTTCTTGTATTTTTTATGGCTTTCTTGCACTTTCGTGGGATAAAAGCACTGTTGACGTACGATTAGAAGAGGGGTTACAAATGGCGACTTTTGGCAACGATGCAAACGCGATGCAGTCGCTAATCGTCTACCTTTACACACGCGCGTGATTTTAGGCAGCGATGCAAACGCGATGCAAGCGCGTGAATGCATCGCTACGCTTGGGATTTATAGATGATTGCATCGATACAAACGCGCGATAGACACGGCAACTTTTAGCAGCGATGCAAACGCGCGTTATTATATACATCGGAACTACTACCTATGCACCTAAGGACCTATACATCGATGCAATCATAACCACTCGTGTAACCACCCTAAGGTTCGTACTAGTAGTTATTTGTGTTAACAAGATTTAGGCAATTGTACGATAGGTTTACACTCTTCAAACACTTGTTATTCGTATAAAGAAGTTTCTTTGCATATAGTTTTTGTGGCACCATATAAATTCATCACATGAAATCTCAATTGCAAGTAATAATAAAAATATAAAGGACAACTGAAAAAACACACAGAAACGAATTTAAGAGAGAGGGAAATGTTCTGTTTTCTCCTATTTCTATCATTTACTGACTACTAATACGACAAAATGCTGATTAGTGTAAGCCAATAAAATGGAAACTGTCTCCGCAAGCTTACTATTATTTGTGTGTGTTTCCACGTATTTACCAATAAAATCAATAGAGATTTCAATAGACATATCAATAAAAGTCATAAAAATAATTGTAAATGCATATTTTGGGAAGCAAAACGGAATGGAAAGGACGGACACAGAAGGAATTGGCAACCTGAATACATTACCCTCGTTTTGGTTTCGCTGTGATTGAGTAAAAATAATTTCTGTACAAATCATCCCACTCCCGTGATTTGAGCTGCCTTTAGACGTTAATTTAATAAAAAGCAAAAAAAAAAGAAATCAGTATGGTACTCTACAGTAGTTATTTCCTTCATACGGGTTAATGAGAAACATAAGGCTTGAACTACGTTAATATCTACAATTAAGAACCATTTAAACTGCAGAGTATTTATAGATGTTAGGTTTAACTACTAATTCTCGTCAAAATTGTCAAATTTTTATTGATTAATTGTGAACCAGGTTCACGCAACTAAGACAGCAACGACATAGTTATTTACAAAGAAAGGAATTTGGCTACGAGCTGTATCTGCCGCACGACAGATGCATAGTTTCACGACGAGGTAGATGTAGCAAGGCTTTAAAGTATAATTTCAATATTGAATTGTTTTCAAGAGGAACAGCATATGGCACATTCACAGGTATTGCTATAAAAATGTTACTAACAATCATTTGCCAATTCATCTCCAATAAGCGTTGAGCACTTATTAAAAAATAGTATTTGAAACGGTTTTGAAAATTTCAGGAATTTGTTTAGATGTAAATTTGATTTTTTACTGGGACCTCATTTGCCAAATCAAAGGTTTCTGCTACAGTACCCAATCTCGTTAGAACAAATTTTCTTCCAGTGGGTTCAGGACTCCGCTTGTCGTGAATAAATAGTCAGGAACGAGTATTTATAGAAAACAATTTAGTATTATATATACCACTATGTACATAAGATATTTATTACTTATACCCTCAAAAGATAGATCTGTTAGTTACAAATGAAAATGTTTTATTACCCACCACCGACTTCCACAAAGTGCTGAATGCCGTGAGAAGCGTGCGCAACCGTGCCTTCTATGATGTATATGATTGTACGTTTTGGTTGTGGATTGTCAATAAAATAATTACAGAATTAGAAAAATGTGTTTGTCTGAAACGTCGTCAACAATATTCTGCCACTTTTCAAATGTATTTTTTATGTGAAATTGAACTGCATTTGTTGGCCAATTCTCGCATTTGTTTGCATAAGTTGGTAAGTTCTGATATTGCTGTAGGAGTAATCATAGCATATTTTACTTGTCGTGTTTTTTATAACCGGTTACTGGCATTTTAGGCACAGCAAAGCCAAAGGGAGTAATCAAAACTGTTTTTCATCACAAGTTTAGCTTCACCTATGCGGATTGTTAACTAGATAATCGGAAAGCATACAATTTTGTAGCTAATTCTTCGCACAAAATAGCTACCAATCCATAACCAAAAACCGAACGTAAAATAAATTGCAAATAAAACCAGAATCACCTTTCCAAGGGTCCCTGCCATTGAATTGATTTCTCGGTGCTGGGTGTGGCTTGAAACCAGGGGCGGGGGCCATAGGTTGTCTGCCTATCGGTCTCGCTGGCGACTCCCAGGCCCTGAGGGGATCGGAAAGGTCGCCGACAGACGAGGAAGGGGGGATGGAGATGTGGGGGCGGGAGAGGCTCTGAGTGGAACCGTACCGCCTACCATTGTTCATATCGTGAACGCCCTCGATGTGCAGGTCTGCTAGGGTCTTTGGTACGAACTCCAACTTGGGACGGCTGATGGCTTCTTCTTTCCTGGAAGTGGAAGAATATGGTATTATACCTGTAAGAAAGTTCACTTGGTACAAGATGCAAATGAAGTTCCAATACAGCTATGAGGAAAATCGACTGAGTCTTAAACAATTAAAAAAATTGCAAACTAACGAAATGCTTTGAAAAATGTCATTCCTTAAATTGGTTAAAGAAATTACCTACAGGTGTATTTTTGACTTACTTCTCCAAAAGGGTAGAAACGAGTCCCTTCAGGATCTCTGTGCACTGTTGGTGGTACTCCAACAGACCCTCGGCAAAGAAAGTTAGCTGCGCAACTTGCTCCACCTACAAAAAATAATACAATGTTCACGTTGTAATTGCCACCAAGTAAGTTAATTTGTTTTATCTTGCTAGCGACACGACTTACGAGTGTTATATTTTCTTCGAAATCAATAAATATTTAGTACAATAATGCTGTATTTTTTAAGTGGTAAATAACTATTATTGCGAAAAGGGTAATAGCGCAGCCAGCCTGTTGTGTCGGTCTAAACAGCGCTAGTGGCTCTAGTGTAAATTCACCTTTATAAGTAAACATTCGAGACATACTAAGAGGTACAAATAAGTACAATAATTGCATTTTTAAATCTATTCAATTTACAAACAGTATCTAAGTAAGATTAAAGTTATTCGTATTTTGAATCTAATTAAACACAATTGTCACGTATGGAAGCCTGACGATCTTTAACACAGGTCTATGTTAGTTTGTGATTGCAGTCTCACACTTATGGTGGTAATTTCATAATTTGGTCATTATGGAGTCTGTGTTCACTGCCTAATTTCCGTGGCAATTTTTATCATAAAAGTTTTATTATATGAATTATATTTCACTAACTATACTCGAATATTAAATAATCTGTCAGGATAATATACTCGAATACTAAAATAATAAAATATGCCACGGAAATTAGGTAACGAACAGTAATCCGACAATGACCCATTTAATTTATATTATTTTATAAATGCTTACTTTTGGGAGAGGGAATAAATAATATTAGGTACTATTAATTAATGGATACACTTATTTTGACACTTACATCATTATCAAGAAGGTTGAACATGCCAATCTGAGCTAGTGTCAGCGACTCTGCGAATTTCTCCTCTGCCTGTCGAATCTCATCATCTGGAATATGAGCTGATGTATGAACGTCCCAAAACGAAGGATGTCACCCAAATATCATTAAGAACAAAAATACAGATTAAAAACAATGATAAATAAAAAATAATAATAAAAAACAACACAGAACACAGAAATTAAAAATAATAATAAAAGAAAAATACAGACCAAACGCAGAAAACAAAACAGGCAATGAAGGATCGGCGCGTACACAGGACAGGAACATGGAAGAGACGAGGTTTTATTATAGGTTTTATATTTATACAGGGTAATGATTAATATAGCTAGTTGCACTAAGTTTATAAACGCAATAGGAGAAAAATACTGTCGACGGTTTCGAAGTTGTGCAATTTTCTGATTTAAATTAAAGAACGACAAATTTGAACTCTAGCCAGTACTCTAGAAAGCCATCGGTTTCAGTTTTGTTTAATAAAATAAGGAATATACTCGTATATAAAGTTGTTTGTTACCATGAGTACGATTATGATATGGTTAAATACTTTTAGCAATTTGACAGATAAAGGAGCGCATTTACCGCAGTCTTAATTGAATACAAATATCAATCAATGAGCCGGCATAAAAAGTAACCAACTTCAAAGTTGCACTTCGCGGTAACATTACGATCAATCAGAGACCGAAATGGGTAAGCGTTACGCTGATTCAGAGCGGTGTACAATTTAAATAAATGCGCAAACAGGTAAGATTGAATTAACAATGTATACCTGCAAAAATTACGCTACCGGCCACTGCATAAACATAATCATGTTGTTAGAGCGGTTACACACGGTCACTTTAAGCAGCGAAGCAAACGCGATGCAGTCGCTAATCCTCTACCTTTCGCACTTACACAGACGCGCGATTTTAAGCAGCGGTGCAAACAAGATTTTAAGCAGCGATGCAAACGCGATGCAAGCGGTCGATACAAACGCGCAATTGCATCGCTACACTTGGGATTTATATGCGATTCCATCGATGCAAACGTGCGAGTGCATCGATACAATCACCTACAAATCGCACGTGTAGCGATGCAATCACGCGTTTCACGAACGCGAGTTTGCATCGCTGCTAAAGTCGCCGTGTGTAACCACTCTTAATGTTTCTGCGTCTTATTTTCAGTTTCGCACACGCTGAAGCGATTTAAACGATTACCTCTTTTAGTCTCTGGAATCAAAGTACGAATGATATCTCTTCATTCTATAGACACAGCCGAAAGGGACGCTGGTGTGAAAAAGAATGAGAAGGAAATAAATAATTCCTATCACGTTCTTTCATTATGCAAACAAATAGTGCTGGTTGTATACAGGTATATACGTGAACATTTCAAAGTATTGTAATCCAAGAAAAAAAAATCGAGTTATAAAATCAAAGGGTAAACTCATGTCACTCAGAATTTCAGCCGCTGAGTGATCACTAATGGTCTTACCTATTCTAACGATCAATTTGTTAAAAGCTTAAAGAAGCAGCTGAAATGCCAAGTTGTTAGACACGTTTTGATCCTAGCCTAGAATGAGATGATGACTGTTCGCTAGTGTTTCTTTGACATACCCTGTCTTTGTGTTGAATTGTGACTTGGACTCATATAAGGGCTGATCCTACCACCTGAATACATCATTTGACAAAAGAGAACAGTAAATTAGATAAAGAAAAATAATTGCAAATCAGGAAGAGAAATAACACTAGAAGAAGTAGCAACAGTCAGCTGGAATCTCATGAAATGTTTTGCAGATATTTAGATTCAAGTTTTTATGTCGATTAAATTTAAATGTTATACATGAGATTTCAGTCGAAGAATATTGTGTTTCATTTATAGCGTAAAACAGTAGACGCGTGGCGTATCTTAGTTTGTTCAAAATGTTATACGGAACGATTTGTCTTTACTGCATTTTAAAGAAATAATTACCTTTTGCTTGTCTACGTCGTTTGCAGTCAAAATCGAGTCTACGTCCCTGTAGTTTCTTTCGGTGATGCTGTAAAAAAGAAAAGAAGCAGATTAGCAATTTAGATAGAGCACGAAACTGTGAAATGAGTTTAAAAAGTCTGTATACGATACGTGAACATCTTTCCTGTTACAATTAACCATTACTTTTATCTTAATTTCAATTACATTGAAATAATTGCCAAGCCAGCCAACTTCTATGAAAAACAATTGTAGTACTTACTCTATTAACATTATAAAAATATTACTTCTCAAATTACAGTTTTTTATTTTGCCAGAGAGAAACGCTTTTTCAAACAAGTAACCCTCGGCGACTGTAAAAGCATAACGCTGAGCAAAAATAAATTTCAGAATTTCAAATTTTAAACAGTGATTAATTCCAGAGATGGTAAAAATTTCTATTTATTTTAAAGTTTCTTGTCAAGGTGGTTAATTTGGATGCATTACTTTAAGAATACCTAGGTAAATGCCAGTGTGTGAATATGATAGAAATGATTAGTGAAATCAGCCTGCAAAATTTGTACATACAATCCATTTTTTGCATTTCAGGAACTTTACGTTTTAAAATACGAGTTTGAGAAAGTAAGGCGACGATTTATAATTTCGTTCATTTATTAATGGAATAAAAATAAGATACTCGTATGTACAATAGCAAGGCCATGTTCTGTAGGATGTGGGAGACTGATGACAATCTGCAGGACGCCGAACGGGGACTCATTCGATCAATTATGAAGTGAGCATTAAGACTTAGCGTAAACTCACCATAACCTCCTTAAGGTCTTTCGTTTGCAGATGGTGTAGGGGTTCGAGGAAGCTTTGCTTGATGTTGTCATCCAGCGAGTACTTCACGTCCGCCATCTGCTTCATAGCTTCGCCCATCTCGATCAGGCATTGTGCTAGAAACATTCAAAGTTTATGTTATAGGCAAGTTTCAACACAAACAAACAGTGCCGACAAACAATATTAAATATTAGGTAAGGTGTTTTTGTTTACACAGCGATTTAAATATGGAATGCACATCCGAATCATATTATTTGAAATCTCGATTTCGAAAACGGATTTGGCGATGAATCCGGATAATCCAGATTTATTTCGAAAAACTATAGGAATTAAAAAATATATATTTACTTGAAAAAAAAAAAGGCATGTATTGGTAGAAAATTGATCATATTTTAATCTAATCTTCGGTAGGTAATTGAGATCCATAGATACATAATATAATTAGTCTTCAAAATTACGCATAGGATTTCTCAACCATGAGCCATTACAATTCTGAATGTCAGTCTTCTTATTTTATTCCTGTCTTCTTATCGTCTTTAACGACGATAGGTAAAAATTAACGAACATCAGCCATTAAATATCTCAAAATTCTAAACATAGAAAAATTACACGAACTAAAAACTGTCTAATTAAAACGTAAGTGTTTACAAATAATCTAACATTTTCTTTTTCTGAAATATAAACAGAGTTGCGTTCTGAGGAGACATTTAAACATTTAGGGGTGCGGCTAGACCGATAATTAAGGTGGGGTAAGCATATCAATTACGTGTTTGAAAAAACGCACCGATTTCTTAATATTTTAAAAGTCTTAGCTGGTGCCTCATGGGGAGTTCATCCTAAGCATCTTCGTCGGCTATACATTTCTTTAATTCGTAGTAGAATTAATTATGCTTGTTATTTATATGACAATAGTGTTAAAACGCACGTGTAAAAGCTGGAAAAGGTTCAAATGTTGGGATGTATTTCTCATGCTAAACGTACTTATAATAGTGATATTATTCGCATGGATGTAATTTTAGAATTGCAAGAAAAGTATTCAAGTTGGTTAAAAATATTTACTGATGGCTCTAAGTGCGGTAATAAGACAGGGGCAGCGTTTTTTGACCCATTAAGTAATAAGAGGGCAAGTTTTAAAATTACGTCTAGTGTAACAATAATTTCGGCAGAGTTATATGCAATATCTGAGGCGTTGTTGTATGTGGAGACGTTAATTTGTCAAAACGTGGTAATCATGACTGATAGTAAAAGTGCCATTCAACATATAGCTCGATGTACTTATGACAAACAGTGTTTCATTAGCTTATAAACGTCCGTACATTTAATGTTGGAATATGTACATTCAATATGTTTTGTCGGAGCCAACATGTAGTGCCGCGGAGATTTTGTATACATCTTGTATAGATTTGTTTTTAGTGAGGTAGTATTTTGATTATCTATCTGGATTTTATTAAGTGTTTTCTTGATGTACCGTTTTACTAATGGGGCTGACATGTTCAATAACGATCAAAGCTTTTAAAATCCGAATTTCAAAATCGAATAAAAATGCGGGAAAATCTGGATTTTTAAATTACGGATTATCCGGATAGCATTCGTTAGACCTAAAGGGCCATCATACGACATATCAAAACTATTATTCACATTCTCGGCCAATACTTACAGAAGACAGTATCCTCGCCTAGTTTCTTGCCATAGTGCAGCATACAGTCTCCCAACACTCCCTCAGGCTGAGGGTATGTATTGCTCTTGGCCTGCCCGCTGAGTTTGCTAATGCCCTTTACGGCAGCCATCTTTGCACGCGCCGTGGGGTTTGGTTGAAGAAATTCTTTCGTTTTCGTTTGTAATTCTTCTACTAACTCGCATGTAACGTCTGTTTTCTGGAATGTAAATATGCATTGATTGTAATAGGACAATTATGTGTAATGAACAGACTAAGGGACCCTGGAAAAAGTAAAAATAATGATAAAATAACGCACACGCTCATAGCGGCTCTGGGGAAACCCTGTATCACAGATGACGTGGTCATACACATAGACAACCACAAAGTACACCGAAAACTCACGAGAGAAATAAATGTAGGTCATACAAATATTTCTACCAGCCCGGGAATCGAACCCGGGACCTCTGCGTGGCAGACCAGTATGGTAACCGGTCTGCCACAGAGGCAGTAAAAAGAAAGATGCCTGGTCGGTAACAAGCGGCGATTTTGTAATACTACATATAGATGCAGAGAGATACACATTATCTTCCAGACTTGTTTGGTCAATACACTGCGTACCACTAACAAGGTTTTAGTATTATTGCTTTAGGTAACTAAGGAAGAAGGTTTCATTAATGTTTTTAACGCTAAATGTGTTTGTAGTCGTGTATACATACTCTTTCCATTTCCACAAAGTCCAGGTCCAGTTTGGTGCCCTCGGCACCGCCCATCTTTTCTGTGACATACTGAAACAAAGAAATTTGAAATTAATAAACAGACATACTACAACCTGTAGAAAAACCAGCATTAAGGTGACGCTTGCACTGTATAAGAACATTTAATAGCTTTCCAGAAAGAACAACCACAATAGATAGTTTTAGAACTATTAAATTATTACAAGAAAAACTTTCATACACTTCCGACAGTTGGCGATATGGCAAAAAAGTCGTTAAAAAACAAAATCCAAAGATCTGGAACAAGCACATAGGAGAAATTCGTATGGTCTGCTAGTTCGTTCCGTAGCTCAGTTGGGAGAGCGTCACCACTGTATGACGAAATCTCACCTATTTCTGCCGCCATGCAGTAATGTGAACATTACTGCATTCCGGTTTGGGAGGGTAAGGGTGGTACTGAAATTACAGGCACATGGGACTTGTCAACTTATGTCTCATAGTGACGGGTGCAGTGGCACTGCAACTGTAATGGACAGGCGTGTCGCTTGTCACCAGGTGCGCGACTTGTTTGTCCCGTCACTTAGTATTATAAAAAAAAAACTTTGGTCAATCATATCAGCAGACGACGCCATCTAATTATATACCACATTATTTCTCATTCCTCTAACGTGACTTCAATGTAATAAATAATTGACCTACTATGAAAATTCGTAGAAATACTCCTGGTACAAGAAACGCTGGGTTGTTTCATTTACAAGCTAATTTCTCAACAACAAAAAAGGAGGCCGACTGATTTATAGACAATAATAATAATAAAGTATCTGGCACATCAAATAACCACAGCAAATCCCTGTACCACGAGTATCAGAGCTACGGATTAAACTCCTAGTACACTCACAACAGAACCACAATTTAGAAATCATTTAGCACGTGCATAAAATCGAACCCACTGAACCACCGACATTTACATTCTTAACAAACAAAATGAAGTTAACTACGTACATAAAATTAGCTTTGCTTACACTGAGGAGATGTCTCCAATGCCTTATAACATACACGAGCGCGTCATAAAAAGTAACTCACAGATTAATTCGAAAGCAGTAAAAGTTAATTGCGTTCGTCATCTTTACTTAATAATGTTCTGTGAAGATGTGCTGAATCAATTCAATAAAAAGCTGTTACCTATCTTACGTTTTACAGTCGATACTCCATCTGTTGGGGATATGGATTTATCACAGACATATATCTAGACAGACGCCGCAAGTGTATGTACTTCACGCGCCCAAAGTAAGTGAAATTCACTTACTTGCCGTTGGTACAATTCAGAACGCGCTCGACCGTTATCGTAGTCAAACACCAGTCGAAAACGCGAAAAATGCATAATTGTGCCATTATAAACTGCAAAAGCACGATAAATGTGTGCAAAGGGGTAAACAGGGACGTTTCCTTCCACGGGCAAGTGATTTTGTAATCAGAAGATGCATAATTTATTTTAAAAACATTTGGTGCGATACATATATTTGTGATCCTTTGTTAATAAGCCATGAATATCGAACGAACGCACTTTTGTATAATGAATTCAGTTTCCTGTTACGGCCGCTTGTACATTGTTTTGGCCAAATTTAACGTTTAGTGATGTATACTTTAGGCAAAACTGTCTCGATTCTGATCGATTTTGAAAACAAAGGGACGATAATTATTATGACCTTAGCAATATTATAAAAAAAATCTATAACTCTTTTGTTATAACGTTTTGTTTTTTTTTTCAGTTTTGTAGTATCTATTATCAGTAGTATCTGTAATTTCGATAATTTTTGCAGCACGTTGTCTAGAATGTCCGAATATAGAGACCAAATAATTACATACATCGCCGGATATGTAGTACGAGTAATACACAAAAACTATATAATGCAAAGAATTAACAGTGCGCTGTCTTTACATAAACCTGGAGTTGGTCATACGTATGAGTTCGTTGCTTTCGAGGACGAAGGTGGTCTAGTTTATCCCATCTAAGATGCTATCCAAGTATGCATAGTAGCAGAGTTAGAAATCCGAGAAATAATAAACAAATCACAAAAATTTCACAGCCTTCATTAAGTAAACCTCTTCTAATTAATAAGATTTTACCATATTTTGTCAGCAGTAACATTTTCAATCAGAAATGAGGAGATCCGTAGAAGAACGAGTCACCGACATAGCTCGAAGGATTAGCAAGTTGAAGTGGGAGTGGGCAGGACACATAGCTGGGAGAACTGATAGCCGTTGGGGCAGAAAGGTTCTTGAATGGAGACCACGAACCGGAAAGCGTTCAGTGGGACGGCCCCCTACTAGATGGACGGATGACCTGGTACGGGCGGCGGGTAACCGATGGATGCACGTCGCGTCCGATCGGCTTGTCTGGAAATCTTTGGGGGAGTGTCTTATGTTCAGCAGTGGACGTCTTCCGGCTGATATGATGATGAACATTTTCATTTGTCTTGCCATTCATTAATTTATCGATATCTTATCGATAAGTTAATCGATAAGATCTTCTATTACAAAAAGATGTTATATAATAAGTTCATTTTATTGGAAGGACAATCAATTTAATATTTGAAGTCGATTAAAAATTAGTTTTAATTTTTTTAAGTAATCAATTTATTTTGCTTGTTTTTTAAAACAAGCAAAATAATAAAAAATAAAATCAAAATGCGAAGGAAAATGGAACAATTCAAAATTTTAAATTAAATATGAGTAGAAGAAGAAAAACGATACGATACGAATGGAGAGAGGCGATACAAAAAGGTGGGATGACGGTGTAAGGAGGTCACACCGTCACAGGGTGCTGGTGAAATTACAGGCACATGGGACAGTCTCAGGGTGACGGGCACAGTGGCAATGTCCATCAGATCTTAGTGGTTTAAAAAAAGCTCTGAGTAGCACTGCATCCGTTATAGACAGGCGTATCGCTTACCACCAAGCCCACAATTCGTTCGTCCCGTCGCTTGGTTGTCATAAATAAAATGTTAAAGATTACCTTTAAACGTAGGTTGTGATCTCACACAAGTAGTAGGAAAAATGTTACTATCTTAATTCAAGTGACTTGAAAATATAAACGCACCTTACCCGTGTGATATATTATGGACGTAAATACTTTATAATTACTCTGGAACAGGTAACCAAAAGGTCAGCGGGTGTGGGCGGAAATTGTTTAACACAAATGAAAAATAACGCCAATCGCTGCCTATTAAGAGAGGAATAAAAAAGATAGACTGACATTGGGTTGTTTATTTTCTGATAAGGTCGAGAGTTGTAAAAATATTTGTCATTTTTATTTTAATATATTTTTTTTAATGAACTAGTTACGTCTAATGTAAATGAATACGACCCTAATCTAAACTATAGACACAAAAATTAGTAATTTATCAAATAAGATGTTTCAATTTCCATTACAAACGATTTGCAAAATATTTTAACAATCTGTATGTTTTACTAAATCAAATTTAGCCTTTTTGTCTACTTGGGATTTTTTCCAAGCTAGTGGCACGAAGAAACCACCTCTACTGTTGAAATTAGTAGGATGTTTTTAATTTAATCGCATCTCGGAGCATCCTGGGTAGAAAAAAATACATAGGTTTGTTTTAAATTTTAAGCGACTTCTAAAAAGGAGGATGTTCTCAATTTGACTATATTCCTTTTTTTGTGTGTATGTTACGCGATTGCTCCGACAATTGTGAACCGATGTCGATTATTATTTTTCTTTTGGAAAGGGGTACCTTGTAGTGGTCAAGTTTGAAGAAAATATTCTCCATCTCTAAGGGCGTCAAATTAGGGGATAAATCCGGTTTATCTTTCCGTTAACTGATTTCAATAATATTGCCAACTTTTGAGGTAGAGATTTCTTTTACATTTTTTAAAAACGTATTTACTACATTCTCTGGTTCATTTCGAAATCCTCAATTAAGTTACTCTGAATAATGTTATGATAATATTTTTTTAACGTTCAAATAAAAAGTGGAACAATAAAATATGTTTTCGAAACACAAAAGGCATTGTGTTAAAAAATAACAGGTCAAGGTTCAAATAAAACTGCCGAAACGAAAAGTATATGTAAATTTTATGTACATTCTGAAACCCGTGGATCCAGGTGTGCGTACAGGAAGTCAGTCCACAAAACAATGTTGGTATCAGCGATGTTGTATACCTATATAACAAACAGGTGCAGATATCTCGAGGAAAAAGAAAGTGTCAATTGAAATAGAACAATATTAGTCAGTAGTAGTAGAGCTCCTTGTGAAAGAGGTGTCCAGGGAAGTACAGTCATCTTGTATCTTACCTATTTCATATAACTCTTATAACTATTATATATATAACTGCATCCCGGTTTTGAAGGGTAAGGGTGCTGGTGAAATTACAAGCACATGCGACTTGCCAATTTATGTCTAAAGGTGACGGGCGCAGAGGCAGTGTCCCTCAGATCTTTGTGATTTAAAGCCTAAGTCGCACTCTGTCAGTGATATGGACAGGCGTGTCGCTTACCACCAGGTGCACAAATTGTTCACCGCGTCACTTGGTATCATAAAAAAGTAATAAATTCTTGTTAAAGAAGACATTTCTAATTTGTAAACGGAACTGTCCTTTGACAGTCTCGCATAAAAGTCATCGTCTGAACTTTCAAGTAACGGCCCGTTCACACGGCGACATTGGCATCCTGTTTTTGGCAGGATTCTATTTGTTAGCGAACGTGCATTAATATTAGCATTCACATGAGCACCACCTTTACGAGATACTGTAAAAGTGAATGGGTGGTAAGATGCGTGCAATCCTATTCTTTTTCGCAAACCATTAACGGACTTCACAAATGGTTTTACAAATATATAACGTATTGGAATTCATTCATGAAAATCGGGCTGATTTTCAAGGAAGACAGCTAGTCGTCCCTGCTACAAGAATGTATGAAAAAAAACAAACAGAGCATGTTTTTTTCTCTGCCTAAAATTATTCACTGTTTTGCAAGGTATTTTCACATTCCCACATACAATATTTAGCTCTATTGTTATAGGGTAAATTTCACAATGGGACTTCGAAATACC